GTCCTTCAAAGGCCATGAAAACAAGGGGTTTCCATTTACGAAATATGCTCTTTGCTTGCATCAATAAAGCAATAAAAGTCATTCCATATAAGTTGCTCGCTTGTTCAAAGTCTATTGGACTTTGCTATAACTGTGGTGTGAAAATCTGCTTTGTTCTGCTCACATAAACGGATCTGTATGCTAGCTGCAAACAAAAAAACCTTTTAGCTCATTACTGCCACCTAAAGGGCTGGAGTGAGAACATCAGTGTCTTACTCTTGTTAAAGGTATAGAGCAGGGATAACTAATTAAAAATCAGCAGGGTCTGAATAAAGAAGATCATCAACCAGTAAAGGTCCGGAGACATTTTTAATCATAATCTGTTACTTTTAACAGAATTTAACACTGAAATAAGATGAGGTTTTTATGCATCCATGTTATACATTGATTATTTAAATTAAAAAAAAGAACACTTTTGCATTTTAAAATCTAAAGTGTTTTATTTTTTAAGTAGAGAACAACAATTGTTCAGTTTGGTATATAGACCATTTCCTGATTCACATATTTTATAAAACACTTGAACTGTCTGTTTTATATTGTTTTTTTCTTTATTTTTTCTGGCTTAATGAGAGCAGTGGGCTTTATGCTGCCCTGCAAGGCTTTAAACCTGGGTTTGAATGGAGACAAAGCCATTCTAAAGCACATATGAAGGAGCTCATTTTGAGCCTGGATCCATATTTATTTTTGATTATGTTCACGATGGAGAATCCTGCTTCACAGCAGCAGGTTGAGCCAAACATACTCTAAATGTGCAGGGTCATCTTTGAGCACACCATTTCACTTTTCTTTAACCGGTTCACCACAGTTCTTCCAGCGGCCACACTTTCTTTCACTTTTTCTCATCGTCTTCTCCTTCTTTCCCATCGCCCGGCGTGCCATAGGTTTTGGCCTGCTGTGTCTAAAAGTAGCAGCAGCAGCAACCGAGACTGATAGCAGCTCATTGGCTAATTTGTATCACGTGCAGCCTGGAGCTGGACGCTACCGTGGGCTTTACCGTACAAACGGGAGAAACAGCGCAAGTGAAATTAGACACTGCAGCAATTTAGAAATGTTTCAAATCAGGTTGGGTCCAGATTAGCCAGCAGGTGGGTCTGGACCGCGATCCGCTAATAGGTGACCTCTGGTATAGAGGAGGATCTTTTATTTCCAGGTGGATCATCTAAATAAGTGGTCCTCCCAATTATTCTGGTGATATGTTTACGTAAGTTACGTATGTTTTCTGCGCATGCTACTGTTTCAGACAGTCATTGAAGATCACCTTTCTCGCCGCGGTTCTTTGAAAATGGCCGAGGGTCATACATACCAGAAAAAGTGCCTACGAATGTATAAGAAGAAGAGAAAGGCCTCAGAAGAGACAGATATATCCCAGAATGCTTTGCGAGGAGAGCTCTCCTCGCAAAGCATTATGGGATTTGCTGTTATCGCAGCCCGTTGCCGCTACTGGACAGCGTTGACTAATAACAAAGTAATCATCTCTCTGAACGGTCAGTTAACTGAGTTCGCTGTAAAGTCCACTATATATCCCCCGCTGTATGTGGACACAGTAAGCTTGTATGAGCTATGAGAACAGCACATTTTAAACCGGGCGTGCACGAGGAGAAAGGGGCTTGTGCACGCTCTTTTTTTTTTTTTTGGTTGGGGCGGTTTTTTTGCAAATTCTTCCCCATTCCTTTAAATTTAACCTGAGCAAAACAAAGTGCCTCTGGGATTTAAAAATTGTGTTTTGTTAAATTGTGATTATACTGCAAATGTAACCAACGGCCCTTGGTGCATTGTTAATTGCATTACTGGTTTTATAAACACTTCTTTAGCAGTTACCTGTCTCCCTAACTCTTCTTCTTCCGTCTTTTTCTTTGTCTAGTTGACCTGGGCTGTTGCAGCTTCACTGTTTGGCTCTTATTTCCACACATATATCCTCCTGATCACATCCAGAATAAATAAATCCCCTTTTTTTTCCCAGAGTGTTTAAGCGAGTCCTTCCTCTCCCCAATGGTAACTGGAACGCCCTCGTGGACGACTGGTGCTGCCACCCAGATCCGTTCGCCAAGAAGCTGCTGCCCCGAGCGGAGGATTGTCTGCTGGGGGACACCTTTGTCCTGCTGGCACGTGACGGCAGCTGTGACCAGACCCTGATAGAAGAAGTGAGTCCTGTTGGTGCCGCTGACAGTCAGGATCAAAAGGTGAGGATGCAGGAGATGGGATTGATTTTTTTCATATGTTAACAAAATGAAAAAGTTGGATAAGTGCTTGGCTATCACCCCCACACACTCTCTCCTAGACAGTCTAGTCCAGCTCCAGCTCTAGATGAAGATTGATCTGCTCTCTCTTCCATTAGTCATTCTCTGCACGGCTCACACTGCGTGACTGCAGCTGAAACAACCAGAGAGCTGGAAGATAGTTTCACTATCAGCTGTGTCCTTCTTTCTATATTTCTCTCATTTAGTTCTGATTCTAGTTGTAGTTATTCAAAGAATGACAATTGAGATTTTCACAGTTGTGTTTTTGCTTCTGTGCACAGAAACCGTGTCACCGCTTGGCCCTTATCTCCTGTGCGAGTTGTTCGTTAGTACTGGGAGAGGCTGTTGCACCAGGTCGGCACCACTGCTGCTCGATTTTATTTTTATAGATAAAAAGGCTTTACAGAGGAGCATCGCTGGGTTATTTTCATCCTGCTGTATCTTACAGGAACGTTGAAGCTATACATCACCCAGGTGGTGGTGGAGCCCGCTGTGGGAGATGAAAGGCCAGACGCTTCGCTGAACAGGCAGGTTTTTAGAAATATTTAGATTCATACTTCCTGATGGTGGAAATGTAACTGCTGTGATTGTGGAAATACAAAAAAACACATGGTCTGATATCTGAGGAATACAGAGCTG